TTTTGTATTATTCATACATATATTTGTAGATATACACCAATTCATTTGTCCAACTATTGTATAAATTATCATATTATAAATAGATCCATCTTAGACTTCCATTTAAGTTCCGGCGGCACCAGTTCCTTCTGATTTTGGGTTCCATTTAACAGTCATGGTCAGTCTTTTTGTATAAAAAATATAGAAATATTAGTGAATATTCTAGCTAATCAAGTATAATCGATATTAAACTAACAGCTCATTGTCTGCCTGCATAAGTAAATTATCATATTATAAAAAGATCAATCTTAGGATTTCATTTAAGTTCTAGAGCACCAGCTACTTCTAATCTTAGAGTTTCATTTAAGATCAGAGTCAGTCTTTATGTGTGTTGGCATATTATTAAAGAAATCATTTATCAGCAACGACCGATTATATGTTGTTGTTTTTATATGTAAGCAATAGATAAGAGATGTGCATTGACATGTTCTTAAAAAAATCGTTTTTTGATTACGACCAATTATATGTTGTTACGCGTGTAAGTAATAGGTCAAGAAGAGTCAAAGTCAACATTTATTCTACGTTGGCATGTTAAGTAATAGATCAAGAAGAGTCAATGTCAACAGTTATTGTATATTGGCATATTCTTAAAGAAATCGACTTTTGTCACGAACAATTATGTTGTTTGTTTCGCGTGTAAATAATAGAAAAGTGTTGAAAATATTAGTTTGTGGGGATGACGAGTTGCTCAGTTATTGAACAAATAATGATGTGTACAAGAAAATTTAAATAATATATTTTTTTTACATGATGAACATTTTATGGTTTGATAATTTTTCTACGAATTTATCACTCTTTTATTTATTAATACATTTTAATTTTTAATATTCTCCAAAATAAATACAGCCCGTGCATCGCACGGGTTATATACTAGTTAAAAATAAAAATAAAAAGAACAATCCAAAATTAAGTTTAACTTAACTTTAACACACCTCACTATACTCAATATTATCAATATAATTAAATAATATCAACAAATATAATTAAATAATATCAACCAATCATTCTTACACATCACATTAACTTTAATTCACTGTTCATTCACTCACATGATTTTAATTATCCATCACTTCTAATCATTTTTTTCATCATTTATATCAAATTAACTTTAATTATATTATTTAAATATTATTTTAATGTTATTCAAATCAACTATACTATTTTAAAAAATAAAAATTAATTATTATTAAAAAAACAAATCAAATAAACACTAGTTGAATCATAAACCATCAACCATTAGTCATTTAATCCCCACAATTATTGTTGTTACTATTTTTTCTTTCATGACTTTTGACAAGTGGATTACACCTTTCCAATCAGCTTGTATCCAGCCTTTTTTTAAGTTGGCACATATATAGCATCGCATCAAATGCCTTTCTGCAAATAGACCGACATGTAGAGATTATTATTTAGGAAAAATTTGCCTTTAGAGATTCAAATACTAGTTCAAGAAACATATAGAGATTATTATATAGAGATATAAATGTACCGCAATACCATTCAAATGAAATAGTCAAGTTCTTTAAGCACAAAAATTTCTGGAAATTTTTTTTAACCTCGAAAGTATGTTATTTTTTAGAGTTTGTCATACAAACTTTATTTTTTTGATAATTTGTCTCTCAATATAACCGAAACTGACAATGTGTCTCCTCGATTAAAAACCCTATATGACACAAAAGAACTTTTAACTCAATTAATGATAAATTTTAAATTATTCTTTAAAATTGATTTAGGGCTTTTAAAGTCCATAGCGAGACGAACAAAATTAGGCATGGTGTGTCGATTTCCGAAAATTTATATTTCTATAATCGATCCACGATCATAGTAAGAGCACGTGCGTATAAAAAAAGATTTCAATTCAATCTTTCTGATAATCAAGATATCCAATTTTCGATTGGGATGTGTCATTTGAAAGCTTGGAGGACGATTTTTCTATTGAAGTAAATATTATGAAAATCCAATGGTCGGATCTTGG